AGACTAAAGCCTTCGGCTCCAGAGGCTGTCCTGCTTAGACAGTTCACCCTCGGCTGTGGGTTTCTTTGAGGTCGGCAGGGAGTATCTCTCTGCCCGGAATCTCCTCTTCCAGGAAAGAGCTGGAAATTCTTTTAAAGGGTCCACCTGATTAGGCCAGGCTCACCCAGCAGCATAAACTCCTTTTTGATTAGATCAAAGCCAACTGATTAGAGACCTTAGTTACATCTAGAGGATATCTTCACCTTTGTCATATTCAATTAGCGAGAAGCCAATCCCAGGCTCCACTCATGCCCAAAGCAAGGCGTTAGACAAGGAAGGGGCTGCTCCTTGGAGTGAGATCACAGGGCCTTCTAGAATTAGCCGTCTCTCCTTCCGGTTCCCCTTCTGACTTCCAGGTGCCTATTCCCGACCTCCTTAGATCCCAAGCTCAATCCCTTCCCACTTCTTCCAAAGTGTGAACTAGGACTTATGTTCTCAGGAGGCAGAGGGAGGCACGGCAGTAAAACAGGAAGCTCTGCAAGGCTGGTTCACAAGGGAAGGTTCTTGGTTTGTATCTGGAGCCCTCCCTGAGTATGCAGGGCACTTGTTCGCCCATGGGCAGGGCAGGCTGAGCTGGGATGGGCTGCACACGGGGATCCCGCTGGGGATGCTGTCTCCCTGTCTTTATAGCTCATGGAATAACTAAGTAAATAAATAAATAACTAGTTCTCAAAACACACCCTTCCCAGGTCTTGCAATATAAAATGGAACTACAGGCCACCCCATGGGCTCGTGGTTGAGGGAGCCGGATGCCAGGCCACTGATTGTGTGGTTCGAATCCTGGCCCTGGCAGCTTGTTAAACACATTGAGCATATGTGCATGCATGCCCAGGGCCCTGGTGGGATGAATAGATAGAGGGAGGGGACTGCAACATGACATGCCTCAGTTGGGGATGCTTTCTCCCCTATCTCTCTGTCTCTCTCCAGTGAGGGCGCACACTTACTGACAAAACAAAACATTAATTAAAAAAAAAAAATAACTACTGATGACCATGAAGCTTCAAAACTCAAAAAGAGCAGAGAGTGGAGTAGAGGGGCTTGACCGTCGCACGGCCACTCTGGCCAACAGGCATCAGGGGACAAGCGCAACCCCGTGCACGGCACCGAGGGACAGCAAAGACGGGGAAGGCGTGCGTTTTACCTTCGAGGAGCTCATTATGCATTTGAGACTATTGTATTAGCCTGCTTTCTTTATTTTTTTGATCATTTTGTTTTTCTATAAAGTTATTGCAGCAAATATGGAGACGAGGCGATGGCAAGCACCGAAAATGGAAGAAACGCACGCTTCGCTCTGTCCTCCAAGCTGTCTCCCGTTGCACGTGTCAAGCGTGTGACAAACACCTCTGCCCTCGTCACTCTCTCCCGTGAGTATTTCTCCAAGTGGCTTAGAAATGGCATTTCTGTGTGGAAGCAGGAGACCGTGGTCATGGCCGACGGCGTATTGTCCTGAGGGCTTGTGCAGATTTTTAAATGGGGACCCCTGGTGGTGGCAGGGCATTCGCTTGTTCCTTTGACTTCCAGGAGAAGGCTGGGTCAGGAGCTGGTGCTCTGAGGGGAGGTGACGAGCCGCTCAGGCCCGGGGAGACCCCACAGCGCCCTCCAGGGGCAGGTGGCAGAGGTGCAGGAGCCAGAACACCATGTTCTGGTCCCCTACTGGTGCACGCCGTGGGGTACGGGCACCCAAGGGACAGAAAAAGAGCCCCAGAACCTGAGCCAGATCCTCAGAGGAAGCCCCACCTTCCCTCAGGACAGGCAGTATTTTGATTTTGCCTAACGGCACCCTGGCTCTGTGCTCCTGTGCCGGGAACACCAAAGAGTGACCGCTGCCAGCCCGGTGCCTGTTATCAGCCCCCGTTTACGGAGGAGGAAACAGTCCCAGACAAGGGTCTGCCCAAGGTCACAGAGCCAGAAACTCTTGTCTTTACTTCTCTGGTTCTGGTTTTGGTAAGAGCCAGACTCTCTCTCCTCCAATCTTCACCTCTCTCTCTCTCTTTGTCCCTCTCCCCCTCCTTCTCTCCTCAAGTTCCCTCATTTCATATAAAAATAAAAGCAGACACAGGCAATGTCCTCTCTCAAGTTCGCTTGGCCAAACGGGCAAAGGCAGGCAGAGAGGAGCCCGAGTTCTCCTGGCCTGGGACGGGTGCCCAGGAAGCTGTCCACACAGCCCCGCGATCAGGGCACAACAGCAACGGCGATGTTTGAATGTTTTCTCTTACAGGGAAGGCAGCCGTGCCCCGCTCGGCTTCCCAGAGCAGCATGTGCAAACGATTAAGCCAGTTTGTTTTCTCTAGAGCACTCGGGAGGAAGTGACACTGACATCCTCGCGGTCCGATGGCAGCGCCAGTGCCTCCGTGGGAACAGTCCCCTGGCTCTTTCCACAGCGGCCTTCCGGGGCCTCGCCTCCCAGACCCCCACGCAGCGTGCCCCGTCTCCACCGCAGGCAGCTGCAACCTGACAGTCCAGCATGGCTCGTCCTCTGGGCCAAAAAGCAGAAAGACACACTGTGTCCGTGGAGCCCTGGAGTGCGGCCCGGGCCCAGGGCCCCCCCGTTTAGCTCTTCTCTGGGGGGGAAGAGGCCGTCCTCCCTGGCTGCTCAGTAGTGCACTGGTCCGGGCCCGTGGGCTACTGGTAAACGTGTCCCGGGAGGAGAAAGGGGGCCCGCTGTCTGCCAGAGAGGACCCTGCTTAGCCAGGGTGGCTCTTGTCTGGCTCTTGTCTGTGTGGAAGGAAAGGTGGGCACCTTTTGGAAACTTCCATCAGGCAAGTCCCACGTCCGGGATGTCTCTCCTGAGCTTTCTGAGCCAAAAGAAGGGGGTGGCCTCATTGCCTTCCCCTCCCTGCCCGGCCCGGTCAGGTACCAACTCCTGCCCCGTGCCCCCAAGACACCTCCCAGTGCCATCTGCTCTGTCCCCATCTGGTCCAGCCCCCACAGGGGCCCTCTGCCTCCACTCTTGGCCTGCAATCCTGCCTTCACCTGGAGGCCAGGGGCGTCCCCCCACCAGACGAATCCTGCCCACGGCTCCCAGGCACGATTCTAGGCCCTGACCAGTGCCTCCTCTCACCATCTCCTGCGCCAGGAAACCCAGGGCGAGCTCCCACTGGCCACTGAGAAGTCCCAGCTTGCCCCGGACCTTCATGCATGCTGCCCCCTTAGACAGAAGCACCACTCTCCCTCCCCTCTCTGGTGAGCTCTTCATCTCTCCTGCACCCCTCCTCCAGGAAGCCCACCTTCCTTAGACGAAGACCCTGGGCTGGATGTGAGGGCCCCTCTGAGAGCTCCTTTTCCCCTGCTCTGGCCCTCGGAGTGGGGTGTCTTAATTACCGACTCTGCGTCTGCTTGTCCTGGTAGGCAGCCCCTGCTCTCCCAGGGCAGGCGGGGCACACAGCTGCGTTCCAAAGCACATGCCGAGGCAGGGCCACGCTGGGAAGGGGATGCAGACCACCGCCCTCCCCAGCCCTGGCCCAGCGAGGGCGCCCGCAGAACACCCCCTCCTGCATCACCCTCAGGGCCCACCAGTCCTGCTGCTGCCAGGGAAGAGGCCGTCCAGTCACCCAGACGGGGTTGCAGGGCCAGTGAGCGGCCACCCTCTATCAGTGGGCTGCATGTCCACAGGGGCAACGACGTCTCCATGGCAGAGTTCCAGACGTGTACAGGGAGGACATTTAGGGACACACAGGCATGGACAGGGCCAGGGCAGGCCTCGTGTCACACACAGGTGTAACTATACCTTCTAAGTGAACACGGGACGTCTCTCCTGCAAGCATACGCACGCGGCTTCACCAGGCCTGTGTGATCCGCCTGGAAAACGCTGCCCATGCCGGCACTTTGGTGTGGTGCAGCCAGAATGTGGAAGACGGGCCATTTCACAGCTGCATCGGGTACAGCCACTCCTGGGGCTGATCGCTTTTACACTCTCCAGGAGGCCAGAGAGCCGTCCTGCCTCTGGGGGCTGGGTGGAGTTCCTTCTAGCAGAAAGGGTCTGCTACCCTCCCGGGGCGTGCCCACCATGGGCGGCTGGCCCCAGACCGCTCCTCTCACCCAGTTCTCTACAGACATTTCCTTCTCTTCCTCCTTTTCCCCTCCCCCCTTTTCATTTACTTATTTATTTATTTTGCTATAGAGCACGTGTGCTTGCTGGAGAGACAGAAAGGGAGAGTGAGAGATCACCCCAGGAGGGACGGCCACGCCACATCCACTCTCCTCTTGTGATTTTGGGCACGCACGCACAGGCGCCCAGCACGGTTTTCAGGCTGCCGGGTCTAGTACTTGAACTACGCAGTCAGCCATGTGGGCTCCAGATGCCTTAACCACCATGCCACTTGCTGGCCCAAGACCTTTCCCTGGTAAGTGATGTCACTGGCTGGTGGCACATGGTTTCTGTCAGTTCCTGTCTGCAAATGGGTGGGTTAGGGGCTTGGGAGAAGGTCTTTTGGTGGCCTCAGCTGTCAGGGACCACTCCACTGTCCCATGAGCTGGTGGGACCTCCACTCTGTACCCCTATATACCCAGCTCTCCACAGTCAGATGCCCACAGGGGCCCCCAACATTCTGTGTGCCCAGAAGCAAGGGCCTAACTGCCAGTGTCCGCCCGCCCATGCTCCGGCCAGCCCTGCAGCCCACGGTCCCACCCTGTCTTGTCTCAGCCCCATCCCATGAGCAGAGGCGACACCCCTTGGCCAGAGACACACAGCAAAGCTCCTCCCGAGCGCCTGTGTGTCCTCTTGGGGCTCGAGATAAAAGATGGGACCAGGGCAGGCCCCTGTGCTGCTGCCCACTCCCCACCTCCCAGGGCCCTGCAGGTGACAGAGGACTTATTCCAGGGAATGGTGTGGATATGAAGGTGGCAGCTGAGCGGGGCCCAGGCCATCCCCGGGCCTGAGGGCCACCAGCCCCAGGTCCCAGCCTCTGTGAGCAGCTGTCATGATTTGCTGCCATTTCCCACCCTCCCACAGCCTTTCGGGGCTTAAAAGAATGGTTTTATTTAAAGACAAAAGCTTTTTGGTTTTAATACACAACGTACGGAGGTCCTTGGCGGGCTCCGGCTCCGCCTTCCCACCACACCCCTCCCGGGTCCTGGGCAGTAGTCAGGAGCAGCCTTGGACAGAGGGGCCGAGCCAGGCCCGGCGCTCAGCAGCCTCTTGGGCTCAGGAGTCCGGGCGACAGAGGGGCCGGGAGAGCCCGACCGACCGGTTCTGGGGGTGGGGGACAGACGGTCCCCCCAGAGTGCCCTGTCTTCCGTTGTCAGACCAGGGAGGCGCTGGGTCCCGGTGGGCCGCTGTCAGTTCACCGTGGGCACCTGGCTCTGGTGCAGGCTGAACTCCTTGGCCTTGAGGCGGAGGCTGGCAATGCTGTTGGCCATGTTGACCCCTGGCGTCGCGGGCCCTGAGCCACCGGGGCTGTAAGGTGGCACCGTACTGCGGGTGACAGGGGACACAAGGACACATTGGCACTGTCAGCCCGCTCCGGCTATCATCCTCGTCCCAGGCTCTGCTCCTCTCACCTCCACTGCTCTGCTTGCTCCTGGGAAGTCTTCACCTGAGGCAGGGGGTCTGGCGCTGCAGAACTGGGGGTTTGGGGCTGTCAGGACTAGGGGTCTGGGACTGTAGGGCTGGGGGAGCAGTTGGGACAAAGGGGGCTCCCGCCATGGGCTGTAAGCTTCCCGAACACGGCCCAGTCCTGCCGGCCCACAATGGGGCGGAGAGGGGACAAGCGCATAGCTGTCCTGAAGGGACTCTCGGTTGTTCTGCTCCGGGTAGGTGGGGATGGGTGTCTAGAGAGCTCTGAGGACCGAGCGCCTACAGGACCCCCACCTCCCCCAAGACCCCAGCGGCCCTTCTTCCAGCTTTGACCCAGACTGGCTCGGAACTTGGCTCTGGGCCACTCCCTCCACCAGCCCAGCCTGTTTCCTGCCTGGAGGGTGCCCACGGGGTGCTGGGTTTCTGTGCCAGCCTAGGGCTCTTCCTGCAGGTGCTCAGCTCCCACGGGGGATGCTGGACCTCGACGCCACTCCAGACAGGTCTGTCTCCTCCCTCTGCATGCATGCACATCTGAACACACTCATGTGGGCCGTGCATACTCAGCCATGTGTGTGCATTGCTGAGGACACAGACACTCCCACACACACTCGTGAGCACACACACACCCAGCTGGGTGGGCTTGTGAACACACCTGGCATACACCTGTATCCAAGGGGCACCCAGACCCACTGGAGCTCTTCTCAAACCCGCAGAGCAGTCTGGGCCCCGAAGAGCCCCATGGGAATCCCCCCGACCTGAAGTGGCTCGCGCTCTCACCTGTAGGGGGATGAGGCTGTCCAGGAGAGATAATCTGGACTCAAGGCGGTGGGCCTGGGGGCCACAGGCTGCTCGATGGCGGCCTCCTGGCTGTAGGACTTGAGCAGTGAGGCGGAGCGGTTGGCCAGCATGGCACGCTCGTTCCGGCGGAACTTGGCCCGGCGGTTCTGAAACCAGACCTGGGGGCAGGAGGCTGGGCTGAGCAGGTGCAGCGGTACAGAGGGGCCCAAGCCCTTCTGGACCTGATGTGTGCCCGCTCTGCCACCAACCCCGACTGGCAGCTGTACCTGTCTAAGCCTCGGCCTCCCGGTTTGCAAGTGGGGAGACAGGTAGCGGCAGCTGCCGGGCAGGTGCGCGGAGCACCAGCAACGGAGGGGTGACTAGTCCACAGTTGCCACGAGGGTGCGAGGAGAGGCACGCGATGGCGCAGTTCAGCTGGCACAGCTAGTGCTTACAGCTTTAAACTGGACTGGGCCAGCAGGTGGTGTGGTTAAGGCACTGGCTCTCACATGGCCACCTGCACAGTTTGAGGCCCACACCTGGCAGCTTGAAAGTCACGCTGGGTTTGCATGCATGCCCAAAATCTCAAGAGGAGACTGGAGAAGGGATTATGGCATGGCCATTCCTGGGGGTGGAGGAGGTGGGGGGATTTCTCACTTTCTCTGACCCTCTCTCTAGTGAGCACATGCACCCTATAACAAAAACTTTAAAATTTTTAATGTATTTTTCCATGAGCAAGAGAGAGACAGACAGCACCCTCAACAAGTTCTAGACGCCACACCCACCCTGCAGCTGGCCCAGGTCATGGGTGAGCATGTGCTGGTGTATTCAGGGAGGCCTCTGGACTCAAACCTGGAACATCCCAAACAGGGCTGCTTTGCTTACCACTGTGCCATCGCCTGGCCCCCAGTGCTTAAAACTTTAAACATCCTTGGGGCCAACAGGTGAAGTGGCTGGGGCACTGAACTTCCACATGGCCACCCATGGTTCAAATCCCAGACGTGACGACTTGAAAATCACACTGGGCAAATGTGAGCGTGCCCAAAATCCCAGGAGGAGAACGGAGGAGAAGGGATTACAGTGTGGCCATCCCCCCTGGGGGTGATTTCTCACTTCCCCTCTCACTGTCTCTTTCTCTCTCTCTCTGTCTCTCTGACGAGTGCATACACCCTGTGGCAAAAAACTTAAAAACAAACAGTAAAGGGGCCAGCAGGTGGTTTAGGTACTGGACTCCCACATGGCTGACCATGGTTCAAGTCCTGGACCCAGTGGCTTGAAACTCAGGCCAAGTGCCTGTGTATGTGTGCCTAAAATCCTGAGACGAGAATGGGGGAGACAGGATTTGTGGCATAGCCATCCCCCCTGGAGGAGTGATTCATCACTGTCTGTCTCTGTCTCTCTCTCTACGGTGAACACACGCACCCTATAGCAAAATTCTCTGGAAAACAAAAACCTTTAAAATGTCCTTTATAATCCTCTGTGCTAGGCACTGTTCTAAGCACTGTACAAACATACTAATTTCTTTAATTTCCTAAAGATGCCCCCAGAAAACCCCCAGATTTGCCAGAGCCTCATTTTACTGGGAAGAAGCTAAGACACAGAGAGGCTACATAGTTGTCCAAGGTCACACAGCTAGTAAGAGACAGGACTTGGACTTGAACCTCAGCCCTCTTGACCTCGGGTGCTCCTGCTCCTCACCCAACCTGGGCAACTGCCCAACCCTGGGTGAACGACGGCTGCACGTTCCCTCCCGGCAGGGGCTCGCTCGGGTGACCTGGAACTGGGCGCCCACCTGCACGCGCGCCTCACTGAGGTTGACGCGCCGGGCCAGCTCCTCGCGCACGAAGGCGTCGGGGTAGTGCGTGCGCTCGAACACGCGCTCCAGCGCCTGCAGCTGGCTGCTGTTGAACGTGGTGCGATTCCTCCGCTGCTTCTTCTTCCGCTTGGCTGCGCTGCCTCGCCCGGGGCTGGGACACTCACCTGCGGAGGGGTCGGAGGGTCAGCAGGGTGACTGGCGAGGCCTGGTGTGCAGCACCGCAGCACCCCTGCCCCACACCTGCCCTGTACCCCACACCCCGCACCTGTGCCCAGTCTAGCCACCAGCTTGGTAGTCAGCCGAGTCCTCTACTGGGGTCCCCTCTGCTGGCGGATCATCCAGACAGGAGGGCAGAATCGCGTCCCTTCAGTCACTCCCTCATTCTCCCTCATCCATCCACCCATTCACTCACTCAGCTCACACCTGCTAAGCACCTACTGGGTGGCGGGGACCGTGCCAGGCCCTGGGGGGATGTAATTAAGAGCAAAAGCAGCAGGCCCCTGTCCTGTGGAGCCCACAGTTTGAGATGGGGGCGCGGCAGAACCATCAGGGACAAGCGACCTGGTCACCGGACTGTAACGTGTAACGGAGAGCAGGGGCGGAGGGGCTGAGGGCCCATGTGCACAGCTCTTCACCACAGACCGTGGGATGCTCACGGGGATTCTAAAGGCAGCGCTTCCGAGTACAGAGGAGGAACACTCAGAGAGGACAAGGCTCAGTGAAGTCGCTGGAGCAGGAGGGTTCGAATCTACCAGGCTGGCAGGAGCCCCCGTCCCGTTCACCAAGCCAAACCTAGTGGCCCTGGAGAGCCCACACCACGCGAGGGCTTCCTTCAGCATCCTGAGCACCTACTGTGCGCCGGGTGGTGGGAAAGACAAACCAGATGGACTCACAGTGAGGGGAGCCCCGTGAGTGCCAGTGGGCTCACCCCGGTGGGCTCAAGAGGGGGCTCGGCTCTGGGGAGCGCGAGGGAGGCCCTTCAGGACAGACAACGCTGGACCGGGCCTGACGGACAGCTGTCATATCAGAGCAGAGGGAGGGCTGACCTTCCTGGCAAGGCACAGGAGGTGGTGGGGGAGACAGCGAGGGGAAGATCTGGCAGGGAGCCAGCTCACGGAGGGTGGGTGCCGGCAGAATCAGCAGCTCTGGTGAGGGTGACCCAGCACACCCCCAGGGAGGTGTGGGGTCAGCAGCCTCTCAGCATCTTCATCTTCTGGGCCTTGTCCCGTCCCCTGGCGGGGGGTCCAGCTACTGTCTGCACATTTAAAGGAGGGGCAAAACTGCTGACCTTTCACCTCCCAGGATCTAGCTCACCACCCACCCCTCCAGGGACCGCCCCATGATCATCTGTGTCCACGTGGAACCCCCGTCCCCCTGAGGGGTTCACCAGGCTGTGGGCATCAACGCCACCCAATTCCATACTTCCTGAGGTGTTTGATTTTCTTATTAAAAATGCGTATTTTAATAACAAACTAACATCACTGACTGTCACAGTGTCAGGTTCAGTCAACCCGGAGGGCGTAAAGTAGCGCAGTGCTCCCTCCCCAACCCCACTCCCACAGTTTGTAAGATGACAAATAAAAGTTTTTAAAATGTACAAGATGGCATCACGTGGCACACCCTGGTGCTTCGACTGGCCAGTTTCCACCAAATAACATTCTGGGTCCCTTTCCATCTCAGTGCAGGCCTGACCCTCTTTATCGGGATTATTTTCCCCAAGTAGATTTTCCCTTGTGTTCCTTCCCTCCACCTGTAGGAGCCGTTTTTACATTATTTTCAGAGACCAGCAGATGGCGCAATGGTTACATCGCTGGACTCCCACATAGTCTCCCTCGGTTAGAGTCCTGGCCCTGGTGGCTTCAGACTCACACCGGGTTCCTATGCGTGCGCACCCGAAGTCCCAAGAGGAGAATGGAAGAGAAAGGATTGTGACATGGCCATCCCTCCTGAGGGGTGATTCCTTGCTTTCTGACTCTCTCTCTCTGGTGAGTACACGTGCCCTATGGCAAAAAATCTCACGAAAAATATGCATTTGGGGGCCCAGCCAGTGACAAGGGGGTTAAGGCATCTAGATCCCACACTGACAACTATGAAGTTCGAGTCCTGGACTCAATGGCTTGAAAAATATGCTGGGCATGTATGTGTGAGTGCCCCCGATCCTGAAAGGAGGGAGGAATGGAGAAGGAACTGCAGCATGCCATGCTCCAGGAGGGTGCTTTCCCACGTCCCCTCCCCCTCTCCGAGTGTATGTGCCCTCTAGCAAAATTTTTTCAAAAACATTTTTGTGGGTAAGCAGGTGGCGTGGTAGTTAAGGTGTTGGACTTCCGCATGGCAGACTGTGGTTTGAGTCCCAGATCTGGTAGCTTGTGTTCTTACTTTCCCTCTCTCTCTCTGGTGAGCACATGTGCCCTATAGCAAATTTTTGAAAATAATAGCAATAATGGATTAAATTAAATTAACGAATAACTGTAAAATAGATCTTTGCATTATCCCTCCAGCACTGCGTTTTGCAAATATACTCAGATATGTGTGATGTTTTCTCCTCCTCTGCTAGACAAGGAAGCACAGCGTGCACTGTCCCCGTTCCCATGAAACGGTCTTGCCGGGCTCCCTCTGTACCGCACACAGAAGTCCTGTGCCTTACTGTCCGCAGCTGTACGGCCCTGCGTGTGTGACCACGCAGTGGGTCCTTCAACCAGAGCCCTATTGAGGGCACCTGGTACTCCCCAGTCCTCTGCAACTAAAAGAATCCACAATGAATAAGCTCGTGCAAACATGACCTTCTGTTTCTTTCTTTCTTTTGTTTTGTTTTGTTTTTGGAGAGGTTTTTGCTACAGGGCGCGTGCGCTCACCAGACAGACAGAGAGAGACAGAGAGACAGAAAGTGAGAAATCACCCCCCAGGGGGGATGGCCACGCCGCAATCCCTTCTCCTCCATTCTCCTCTCGGGATCTTGGGCACGCACGCACATGCGCCCAGCGTGAGTTTTAAGCCACAGGGTCCGGGACACAAACCGCGGTCACCTACGTGGGAATCCAGCAACATAGCCATTACGCTAACTGCTGGTTCCCATGACCTTCTATTTCTGCCAGTGCATATTCGGGACAGATTCCTAGAAGTGAGATCTTGGGCCAATGAATGATGGCAGCTGGGGCCCTGTCCCCCAACGAGGCGGGGACCATTCTGTGACCCCACGGGCGCTGGGTGGGAGGACTGCTTTGCCAGCGTGAGCAGCAGAGCACACGATCTCTACCTGGGCTCTTCTCTGCCCGTTTACACGTCCCTGTGATCTATTCCGCGCTCTCGGGCACTGCTGGGCATTTGTTAACTGTTCTGAGCTTCTAGAACGTGCCAGGTCCAGCGATGGCCACCACTCCACCTTGCCCTCGGGCGAGCAGGATGGGCTGACTCCCGGCCGAGTTGCTCTAAGACTAAATTGTCCCACCAGACTGGTACCGATGGCGCATGGGGGTGGGGATTGCCCGCGGGATGACCTTGGAAAGAAAAAGGTGACCTTGAGGCTGGGTGTGGACCAGTGGTTCTCAATCGCGGGCAGTCTCGGCCTAGAGAGAGACATTTGGCAACATCTAGAGACTTTTATTTTTGTAGTTCTTTGGAAGTGTACGTTGCATAGTCAACGACATTTTTTGACTCTGTGGGGACATTCTTGCTGTTGGGCTGGGGAGAGGGTGTGGCAGGACCTAGAGGCAGGGGCCCAGGATGCAGCTGACTGTCCAGCGCGCAGGACGACCTGGCCCCAACGACCTGGCTCCGAGGCTGATAAACCCTGGCCAGAAGGATGACTGGGAGTTTGTGTTCAGTCATTGTCCCCCTTTGGGAAACACCTGCAAACACGTGAGACCATGTGGGGCCGGGGAGGGGACACACAGAGGCCGTGTGAGTGGCCGCATGGCCTGGATCGCTTCACTCCTCACCCTTCTCCAAGGATAGGCGAAGATGGATGAGGACGGCTGGTGCCCGCGGCCATCTCTCCACCCTCAGGAAGAAACCTTAAACCGAAACAAGGGCCCATGCCCTGAGACCCAGTGCTGATCAATAGCCCAAAGGCAGGGATGGAAGCTTCTGGAACACCAGCCATCTCAGAGCCACTTCCAGCCCCCTTCAGGCAATGCTGCCTGGGCACACACCCAATGCAGCAGGCATTTCTGCCAAAAAAGGAGACTTTTTTGGGAAGTTTCTGAGCAATTTAAAACTGGGGGTGTTTAAATGAAAACCATTTTGTAGCCTTCGCCTCACCGAGTGGGCGCCGGAAGAAATAGCTCGACCCTTGTGCCAGCTAAGCTGAGTGGCGACTTGAGCCAAACCCTCACACAAGGCAATTACTCCCACCCCAGGCAGCCCGGACCCCAGGCCAGCCCCGCCAGTCTGCCCAGAGGGTCTCGAGTCAGCTCTCTCCAGGTGAAGAGAAGGTGGTCATGATGGCTCAGTCTGGGCTTCTCTGGACCTCCACCCCCTGCCCTGCACCCACCCTCTGGGGCATTACTCCTTCTCACATGCAGGGAAACTGAGGCTGAGACTGGCCCCAGGTCACATAGCCAGGAAGCCTCTGCCAGCCCGGGCAGTGAGCCCATCCCCGGGGGTCCCCTCTGCCTCCACCTACTCCTGGCTGGAGTTGGGGGGGGGTCTGTCGTGCTCAGCCCTAGCGCTCAGAACCCTGGTCAAGGAGATGCCACAGGGAGGGGCATCCAGCCTGGCTCCATCTCACGGGCGTGGAAATGCCCGTGCCTCCACCCAGCCCGGGAGCAGGGCTCCCGGACACCCCTTTGCTCTAAAGGAGAACTCCCCGGAGCAGCCCGGCAGGGCTTGCTGGAGGACCTGCCGAGATGCTGTGAAGAGCTGAGTCCTGCTCCGGCCGGCGCGGGCCAGCTGTGAGACGTCCCCACCCTCTCTGCTACGCTTCCATACAACCAGCCTGGCATCTGGAGACACGACAAAGCCGACCCTCTCCGGCCCGGTGGTCCTCTCCGGCCCAGCACAGCAGAACGACAGCTCTGCTCTTAGTGAGGGGCCGAGGCTGAGGAGAGGCAGCCGAGGGTGGGGAGGACGCAGGCCACGTCTCCCAGGGGACCCAGTACTTGAACCCACAGCTCTGGACTCCAAGCGGATGTGCCGGATACTGGTTACCATCAAGCCCTGAATCACCTCCTGAGAAATGTGCATGGTGGGCGTCAGCGCTCCCCTGGGGTCTTGGGGCTTGGGCCTAAAGCATTTAGAAAGAAATACTCTCCAAGCCTCAGGCCATTGGCCTCCCTCCCTCTGGCGGGCCAGCAGGGGCTGGGCCTGCTCCAGCTTTTGCCCAGGAAAGGGTCCTGTTTTGCTCTGAGAGTCACAACAAGGCGTGAAACCGCCTCCAGTTGAACAGGCTGGTTCTGGGCGTTCAGATGCTGCCCTGGGGCTGGATCAGGGAAGGGATAAATAAACTACGCAGGTAGGGGGGCCCCTCCATGAGCTCTCCCTCCCAGAAAACCCAAATCGCATCCCCAGGACTTGACAAGGGCAAGGGCGGTTCTCTGCCATTAAATGATTTCACACATCCCTCTTATTTGGCTGACGGTGGGCCAAAGACCTTTAAAACTCAGCTCTCAGCCAAGTGACCAAGTGTCCCGCCTCCTCTCCCTGCGCCCATGGTTTTCTTATCCCATGTAATTTAAGGGGCTAAATAGTCTGGAGGGAATTAACTGCAAATTCTTCCTAACACAAATAAACCCAGCCTCTTCGTGTCTGCCCCTCTCAAGCCGTGGAGAGACACTCTCTGTTTGTTTTTGCTGCAAATAGTCAGTTTGCGCCTGACCCCGGGGCTGCCGTGAGCTCCAACCCAAATAAATAAGTTTTATTAATTAGCATTTATTCCGACCAAACGAGCAGCGCCCCACCCCCACGCCGTGCGATCTCCGCCAACGCGATCAGGAAAATAAACAGCGGGTCCCTGGGCCCTTGATGTGGATTTAACAAATTAACACCGGGCCTTCGTCAGAGGGGCCTCGGCTGCAGAAATCCTCACAGCCAGGAGCAGGGGCAGGAAGTGGAGGTGGGGGAGGCAGAGGGCCGAGGAGGCTTTGGTTTCCCCAGAGGTTTCTTGGTAGGATTTGGGCTCCTCGGAAGGGCCCGGGACAAGGGCTTGGGCAGGAACTTGAAACCACGTCCTTAGTCCTTAGCTGCCCTGCGGTGTCCTCCTCCTGGAGGACAGGGACAAGAATTCTCACCTCTTCAGAGGCAGGACAGCCTCCTGGCTAGGGGTGTGTAGGGGCTCCTAGCAGGGGCCCTGGGCACACCCCCTGTAACTGCCCCTACCCCTGAGAAATGGGAATGGCAGAGCCACCCTCAGGACACCCAGGGGGTGAGCTGATGGAGCACGCAGGAGCCGCAGGAG